CCCTGGCCCCCGGTGCACATTGTGTCCCCTTGACCAAGGCAGTCGGCATGACGCAATCGCCGAACTTCCTGCTCGACGCCGCCCCGGCTCGGGAGCTGCCCCTGGCACTCGATCGGGGGGGTTCTCCCCGGCGAGGCCCCCCCTGCCCGGGATCGGCCGACGACCGGGCCACCGGCGAGGCCGCTCCGGGCGGGACAGCTCGCGATCCGCCCCAATGGTGGCCCGGGGGCGGCCTCAGCCACCAGCAGCTCCACTCCATCTTGGACACCATGTCCTCGGATGTGGCGAGCAGCGACTGGAGCCTGCGTGCCTGCTGGCTGTTGAAGTCCCACGCGGCGGCCGGCATGCGGCCCGACGGGGAGGATGACCACGCGTCCCCCGGCCAGGCCGTCGACGAGGCCGACCCGGCTCACGCCCAGGACCCGGGCACCCTGGGGGACCTCCTGCCCCGGTATTGGAGTGAGCGCTATTTGGCTCGGCTGGTGGACCAGCATCGCCGGGTGTTGGAGCGCAGCCAGCGCCTCCTAACCCAGGTCCTTTGGGCACAGCGCCCGGCCGCCGCCGGGCCCTGGGGCAGCCTGGCGGCCCCCCCGGCCTCGGGCCTGTACCTGGGGGGGGGCCCGGTCGACTGGCCGACCGGCCCGGGGTCCAGCCTGGCCGACGCGGCCTGCGGCCTGAAGCGCCGGCGGTCGTCCCTTTTAGCCCTCGGGACCCCGTCATCCGGCAGCAGCCCGCCCCTGCCCGCGGCCGCCGCCGCGGCCGCCGCCGCCGCCGCCACCGCCGAAGGTGCGCCGGACTCGGGGCCGCACCTCGCGCAGTCGGCCCCCCTCGGGGCAGACCACCCGACCAGCCCGGTGGCCAAGCGCCCGAAGACCCTGTACGTTGCTCGTGGCCCGGCCGCCGAATGTGGCCGCCCGCCGGAAGGGCCGCCCCCGCCCCATGGCCCGCGCGCCGGCGCCCCTTTGCGGCCTTTTGCGCTATGTTCTGGCCCCCCCCCCCCCCTTGCTGCACCTCTCGGTGTTTGCTGACCTTCGGCGAGCCGATGGGCTTTTTTTTTCTTTTGGCAGCCCCCCGGCCGTCACGCCGCCGCGACCACCACGCCCGGGCAGCCCCGATGACCTGGCCGGCCGGAGCCCCGCCACGGCCGACGATGCGCCGGAGCCGGCGGCTCAGGACCCCCTGGCCTGTGGCGGCGCGCGGCCGGCCGGGCCCGGGCCCGGGCGCATGCGCCGGGGCGGGCGCTTCGGCCGCAACGTCGTCTTCGAGATCGCCAACACCAACACCTTCGACAAGTATTGCGACGAAAAGCGCATGGAGGAGATCCTCCGCCGGCGGTCCGGGCGATCGGCCGAAGCGCGGAGCCCCGGGCCCGGCGGGCCGGCCAACGGCGGGCCCGGGCAGGGGTGCCCCTCGCGCGTGCCGCCCCCCCATGCGGCCGCCTGGGCCACAAGCCGGGCCTCTCTCACGGCAGCAGCCCTGGCCGGCCCGGCCACGACCCTGCCAAGCTCGCTGCTCGGCGAGGGGCCCACCGTAGCCGAGGAAGGCTCCGACATTCAGCCCCTCGGGCCGGGCGACGAGTTCCCGGCCTTTGACCCCGGCTCCGCCAGCAGTGCCAAGCACCACCCAGCTCGGGAGCCGCCCTCGGGCCCGGCCGGCCCGCCCAAGCAGCCGGCTGCCGGCGAGACGATGGCCAGCCCCGAGGGCGGCCCCGGCGCGGCGGCCTCGCCCCTGGGAGCACTCGCCATACGCGACGGCCCGCCAGCCCGGGATGCCCCCTTCACCAGCATCGGCGACTTGATTTCCGGTTGTCTGGCGGCCGCGCCGCCCCCGGCCCCCGGCTCCCGACGCATGTCGGCCCCCTGCCCCAGCACCAGCTCCATCGCCGGGCCGCCGTCGGTGGCTGCCACGATGGCGGCCGCCGCCGCGGCCTCGCCCGCCCGGCGCCGGCGTCGGTCTTCCGGACTCGTAGAGGGAGCAGCCGGCCCCGCGGCCGGATTGGCAGGCCTGTCCGCCGGGCCCCTGGCCGCCTCGCCCGGCCAGCATCATGCCACCGGGGGGCTGTCTCTTGGCGGCACCCCCGCCGGCGGCAGCCCGGCAAGTGAGTTTTTCCTCTCGCGGCTGGCGGCCACCACCGCCGGCGCCGCGGCCGGGGGCATGCCGAGCTCGCGCCGCGGCTCCGCCCCCGTCGGCTCCATCGATCTCGGCATGGGCCCCGGCGCCAAGTTGGCGGACCTCCTCATCGCCGGCGACCGCCAGCACTTGCAACCGGCCGCGAAGCACATTCCCTCCCCATCGAGCACGGCTCCCATGCGGGCGGACCCGCGCGAAATGCCCGCCGCCCCGGGCTCCGCCTCGCCGGGCGTGCAGGCGCCCCGCCCCGGGCCGACCGGCGGCGTGGCCCGGCCCTCGGTGGCCGGGTCGGGCGGCGTGGTGCTGGTCGCGCCGCAGTGGCACACCGGCAGCCCCGCCTCGCCAGCCGCACCGGCCTCGGGCCTGCCGGTGCCAACTCAGCAGCAGCCCCGGCTGCCGCACCTGCCGCAGCCGCCCGTGCCCGTGGCGCACGACACGACGGACACCGCCGGGGCAGCCGGGGCCGACCCGCGGACAGCCCTCCCGGGGATGGGGGCCTCCCAGCGCCGGGCCCGGCCGGGTCCGGCACTGCCCCGCGAGGACACGCCTCCGGCAGGCCAGGGCCCGGTGATGCAGGTGCACGGGAACCCCTTCTCACAGCAGCAGCAGCAGCAGCAGCAGCAGCAGCAGCAGCAAATTCCTCAGGCCTCCCTGAGGGCCTCTATTTTTTCCCCCCACCCGGGGCCTTCACATTTTCCGCGAGGCTCGACGTTCCCGGCAGCCTCGACGACCTCGATGGCGGACCCAACCACCGGTCCCTCGACCGCTGCACCATACCTGCTTCACCTGCAGCAGTCTCTGCAACAGCAGCATCAGCAGCATCAGCAGCAGCAGCAGCAGCAGCAGCAGCAGCAGCAGCAGCAACAGCAGCAGCAGCAGCAGCAGCAGCAGCAGCGCCAGCCACACATCCAGGCTGGTCCTTTTGACGATTTTCCTCCCGCGGGAACGGCTCACCCCTTCGAGCGGCACTTCCACCCCGCCCCCACGGAGACAGGGGCCTCGGCGCAATTGACCCTGACAGCGGCGGACCCACACCCGGCCGCGTCTTCCCAACCGGGGCCCCATCGCGAAGCCGGCGGCTCGATGGCGACCGGCAGCAACACCGGCAGCAGCACTGCGGCGCCGGCCAGCCAGCCGGGCTCCGCGCCTCCGAGACCGTCGACTGCGGCGGCGGCGGCCGCCGCGGCCGCCGCCCGGCGCCGGGCCAATCTTCCCCGCTCCTCGGTCAAGGTGCTGAAGGACTGGCTTTTCGAGAACGCGGCCCGGCCGTACCCGACTGAGCGTGATAAGCAGCAGCTGCTCGATCGCACCGGGCTGACGCTGGAGCAGCTGAACAACTGGTTCATCAATGCTCGGCGGCGACTTCTCCGGCCCCTGGCCGCTGACGCCGGCGCTACCGCGACCGCGCCCGCGACCGGCAGCGGCGGGCTGAACTCCTCCTGTGCAAGCTCCTCGACCTCATC